TTCTAGTTTCAGTTTCCAGCCTAGGCTACTTCTAGTTTCAGTTTCCAAAACAGTCCTCATTGGCTGACTTAGTTGCTCGGCCTATTCATTGGCTGACCTTGTTACCAAGCTCTATTCCAGTTCATGAATATACTCTGACAAACTGCATTACAAGGTAGGAATTTGAGCTTTTCTAAACGCACAGCACATGTGTGCAGTGCATGTTTGGCGCAAACATGCGCAAAGCGAGTGTTCACGCGCAAAGCGAGCAATCACCGAACCGGCTGTTATACCGGTGGAATCCCACCTCTGATTCTAAGGCAACTTTCCCCCCCCCCTCCTCTTTTTTGCTACCCGTGGTAGGTATTCGAGATGGACATTTCCAAGCAGCTTCATGCCTACGAGGTGGAGTACCATGTTCTGCAGGACGAATTGCAAGAGAGCCTGAGTCCTTGTGAGGAGATTGAAGCTTCGGAGAAACTTGAAAGGGCCAACAGCCAGCTGAAGAGGCAGAATATGGATCTCTTGGAGAAACTTCAGGTAAAACCCAACAAAGAGCCAGGCTCAATCTGAATTTGGGGGAGCAGATGACTATTATCAAATTAGGGAAAGGAAATACCCAGTGACACCTTTCTTCCCCAGAGACACACACTTTTGTCTGTCCTTGACTTACAGCCATTCGTTTCCAACTTCTCTTCTGTTCTCTTCTATGCTATGCTATGCCATTTCATTCCACTCCACTCCACTCCATTCCATTCCATTCCACTACACAACACTACACTACATACATTCCATTCCATTTCATTCTTTAGATGGATTTTTTAAAAAACGATGGAGATAGGGAATCACTGATTAACAAACATGACCTGGGGCTAGATTGCTGACTTTCTGGGAGTAAGAAAGGGGATAAATAAAATACGATGTATTTCTTTAAAATAAATAAATCTAAAGGACCCCTTTCTGAAATGAAGGGCTGTCCTTCATAACAAAAGATGCCTGGTCACTCTAGGAGTCGTGAGATTTGGCAGAACTGGAGGACCTCCTCTGACCGTTTCTTATTTCCTCTTTCTGCTCCTTGTTAGGTGGCCCATGCTAAGATCCAAGGCGTGGAGTCCAACTTGGAAGAGGCCTTGAAAAGGGAGAGCCAGATGATGACTTTAATCCAGTCCCTGGAAGAGGAAAAGGCTCTGTATCAGAAGGCCCTGGAGAAGATCTGCAGCTACCTGCCCCAGGAAGCCCTGTCTGACTGTGAAGAGCTGCTGAAAGAAGTCAACTGTCCTCCAAACAAATTCTAGAAGAAAGCCACCAACAAGAGAGAGAGAGAGAGAGAGGAAGCAGGGGGGGAGAAGAGAAAGAGAGAGAGAGAACATGGTTTCTTCTCACCGATGGAACGAAAGAAACAAGGGAGGCCGCTGCTTGGAAAGGAGAGCCACCTCATTTCACAGGATCCTGCAAGCAGCCGCCGCAATAGCAAAGGGGCCTTTTTTTTTCAACCTCAATATGCAAATCCCAGGTTCATGTCTGTCTTTCTTTCTTTCTTTCTTTTTTTTTTTGTTTAAATGACGCGTGTACATAATTCGCAGTGCCCAGGACAAAAGATGGGACCCAATGAAGAAGAAGAAGATCAGGTGTATATTTAGGACTGATCTAAACGGGGAAACCAGTGGAATTGGAGACTGCTTGTAACTTAGACGTTGAAGACTCTTCCCTTCCCTCGGTAAAGGAAGGCAACGGGGTCTTTTCTATACGCTGATCAACACTTGAAAAAAAAAAAAATCAAGAATGTATTTCCACCTCCAAAAAGCAGCACGGGTCCCAGCTGAGGGGAATAGCTGGGGTTGCGGGGGGGGGGGGGGCGGTGCTGTGCAGGTCTGCTACATGTTGGGGGCCCGTTTCTAAAGTTCCTCAGGGAAGATCGCTGGTCCTTCCTTTGTGCAGGGACAGTTGTGTTCCTGTAGACACACAATGGACCTTTCCTCCTGTCTCCTTCAGGGAGAGCTCATGATGGTTGATGCTGCCGTGCCTGACTGAAAAGTCACCCATTCCCTATCCAGAAAAGCAAGGAAGGCGTATCAGGGACCTCTTCACTCCCCCTTCCTTGTGAGACAGAATGAAAACAAAGGGTGGTTGAGGTCAGGGGTAGGATTCTACTGGTTCAGACCGGTAGATCAGCTGTGAGCAAACTGGTTCGTTCCGACGATCAGCTGTTGGGCCTACCTGCCCCAGCTCTAGTCTGTGCTTTATTTCCGGGTTTTATTTTCCAGCTCAGCTCTGATTTGCGCGGCACAGCGGATTGCCGTGCATTAGCAGTTTTACACACAGGGCTTGCAGCAGAAGGTGAGTTGCAAACGCTGCGCACGCTCACCAAACCGGTTGTTACACCGGTTGAATCCCACCCCTCTTTGAGGTGTGGCTGGGACGGGAGTGTGCCAGAATGCAGGTAGGACTTTCCAAGAAAATTCTTCTCTTGGGGAAAGTCATCTGAAACTCTTGGGATCGAGTCCTTTCCTCTGACCTACAGGAATCCGTTTCGGTTGAAGGGGCCCTCACCGTTGAGCGCTGCCCTTAGCTTAGCACCTTGTAGCTTCTCCATGGCTCTTGAGATTTAGTTGTGCCGAGATCACCGTTAGGAAGACAGCCCATATGTCACTTCAGCAATGGCTCAGAGATGCTGTGAAGCACTACAAGGCCCGAGAGGGAGAACGGCCATCATTTAAACAGGATAGATGGAATGGCCTTCAGCCGAAGGTCGAATCCTGACACCTGTTTCCACCTGGCCAAGGAAACCCTGTAAGATCTTCCTGCTTCCAGAGTTGTCCAGTATTTGTTCTCCAAATATGAGTTATTTCTTCCACAGGGAAGATCCCATAAACCTTCAACGTTGCACCTGCAATGGGAAAACAAATAGTTGGCCACAGAATTAACGCTAAGGGGAGTGGTTATCCAGGGGTGGGCTTCAAATTTTTTACCAAAGGGTTCTCTGCCCAGTTGCTGGGTGGGCGTGGCCCAGTCGTCTTCCTGCACCATGGCGGGGGGGGGGGGGGGATTTTTGGCCCCCCCGGGCCCTGGAAGCTTTCTCCGAGCCTCCGGGATGTCGAAAACTGCCTGCCCAGGCTCTGGAGGCTCTCTGGAAGCCAGAAACAGGCCCATTTCCAGCCTTCCTGAACTTTAGGAAGGCCCGTTTTTCACCCTCCCTGAGCCTCTGCGTGCGCCCATGCATCCAAAATAGGCTGTGTGGGGACTCCGGGGAGGGGAGGGGCCAGTGAGTAGTGGGATATGCGGGATTCTCTGAACTGCACAGAATCTTAGGGGCTCCCCCGAACCCCTGCGAACCCCCAGCAGCCCCACTCCTCTGGTTATCTTTGTGTGCTAGTTTATACATTTCAGCATAACATGTCTGTTCCCTCCTCTTCTTTTTAAAGAAGCGTTAAGAAGCAGAGATTCAGCTTCTTAAAAATCTAGCAATTTCTGGATGATGTTGACTGGTTTTATTATTATTATCATCATCATCATCAACAACAACAACATCATCATTTGCTGCTCTGCCTATTTCTTAAGTACGTTCTCTGTTTTTGGAAGCTATTTCTGCCATGCAGACCAGACACCGAAGTCAACACTTGATCTATCAAAATGATGAAAATAGCAATCAGCCAACACAAGAAATATGTTTTGGAACACGTTGTTCTCCCCCCCTGCACTGGGGACAACTTGCATTTCTCCAGCTGCTTTCTTTGAAATTGTGCCAAATTCAGCCAAGTGTCTTCCTTGTCGAAGACACAGGTATGGGCGAAAGTGCTTCCACTGCAACATGAATTGTGTTATGCAGACAACAAGCAAAACCAAGAAGGACACAGTTGCCATTCTCCTCCAGCCGCTGCTGCATCCGTCCAACCCGCCTCCCCCCTTTTTTTTATTTCTTGATCATATAATTTCTCAGTTTTCCTGGGCACTGTCCCAAAGGAAAAGCCAAATGCATGACGAAACACTGCCCTAATTTCAGCTTTTTGCATGGGAGATTTCCCAAAGATTGCGTGCCTGGTGTTATTTTCTTGCTGCTGCTTATCAAATCAACGGAATCACACCAAACCTGGCAGAGTTGCAGAAACATCACATTTTCGGAAGGAAGGAAAATGTGCTCTGTTTCTTTGCAGTTTCATTTGAGGCCACCTTGTGCACGGAGAAGCAGCCCCAGAGAACTGGGCGCTGGTGGTCTTGAGTTATTAAGGCACGCGAGAGTTTTATTTTTATTTTTTTAAGAAAATCACAACGTTTCATGCCATGTTGGTTTCACTGACTTGTTCATGTTGTCAACGTGGAAATTTTTCCAATAAATGCCATTGCTGCATTTCCTCGTATTGTTTTCATTTGCAGCCGGAGTATTTCTATGGGTGGTTGCCCAGGGAGTTCTTTTGGAGTTGCTCTCTTGTAACGTGAGAGCTCAGGGTTACCCAGTTGAACAGACGAGCCACCAGACCTTTCTGAGTGGCTGATTGATGGGTGTTGGGGTTTGGAATTAGGGCTTGACACACAGATAACAAGCCTTGACTGTCTGTGTGGAAGAGAAGGAGTTGGAGGGATGTTCTAACCCAGGGGTGTCAAAACTGGCGGCCTACAAGCCAGATGCATCACACTCTGCAAATTGGAAAAATGTCACGTGACCGCAACGTGACATGGCGAGTTGACACTCGTGTTCTGAGAGATGTACCTGGGTGCCAGTGCAGGTAATCCTGAACTTACAACCATTCATGTAATGACTGTTCAAAGTTATTACAACAGACTGAAAAAAAAGGGGTTACTGCAGGGGTCGGCAATCTTAAATACTCAAAGAACTACAAGGGTCCTAACTGGAAGCCGCCTCGTTCAATTCTGGATCCCACTGGAAGTCTGGTTTCCCCACCATAGAGTCTCCTCCTAGTGCAGCATCCTTTTCCTCTACTGACCAGAAGTTTGGTTCCCCCACCATAGAGTCTCCTCCTAGCACAGCATCCTTTTTCCTCTACCGACTGGAAATCTGGCTCCCCCCACCATAGAGTCTCCTACTAGCCTTTTTCCTCTACCTGTCCTAATCGAACGCCTTATCAATTGTGGAGCCAACCGACGACAGGGAGCTGCAGCAGAGGGATGAAAGAGCCACATGCGGCTCCAGAGCCACAGATTGCCAACCCCTGGCCTACTGTATGACCGTTTTTTGCACTTCCAAGCACTTCCAGGGTCACATGATCGTAATTCGGATGCTTGGCAACTGGCTTGCATTTATGATCCTTGCCGTGTTCCAAGGTCACGTGATCACCTTTTGCGACCTTCTGACAAAAAAAAAAAGTCAATGTGGGGGAAGCCAGATTCACTTGACAACCAGGTTACTATCTTAACAAGGGATTCACTTCTTAACAACTGTGGCAAGAAAGATTAGAAAACGAAGCAAAACTCTTGCCTAGCAACAGGATTTTGGGGCTCAATTGTCATTAGACAAGGGCTGTCACTTTTCCTGCCTGCCCTGCTAAAAATTACAGTACAAAATAAAACAACTTCTTGTGTCTGAACAGAAACCAAAACAAAAGACTGTGAGTTGCACAATCTGTCAAACGGTAAGCTCTCTGTGGAAAGATTGCAGAAGCTCCAAAAGCAGGTGTCAGCATTGCAACTAACCAACTCCAAACCAATAAATTGAGACAAACAATTCCTCAAAGTTCCATTTCATTAAAGTTGTCATATTGGCACATCTGGGAAAACCCGAATCAGATAGTTCCGGGCTTTCCCTTCCCAAAAGAAAATCAAAGATCCATCCCCTGCCTTCATCAGTCCATCACACGGCCCAATCAAATCTCTGTCCCAACTAGAGATATCCCTCCCCCCAGTCACTTCCCTGCAGGTGCAGGCTAACATGTCCTTGACTCTCTGAGAAAGAATGTTGTTGAGTGTAATCTTCTACCCCACTATGAAATCCCCCCCTCCCAATTTCCCAGGCACTGAATGTGGCAGCCTCTAAGCTTCCAAGTAAAAATGGCTTCCAAGGCTGACAGCAGGGGTGTCAAACTTGTGGCATCACAGTAGTGTCACATGACATATCAGGACTTTTTTCACCTTTGCTAAACCAGGCGTGGGTGTGGCCAATGTGTGATGCATGTGGCTCACGGGCCACAATGACAGCCCTGTTCCAAAGCATCCAGAAGTGCCTTTCTCTGAGAGAGTTGATGTCATGATGCATTGATGGTGACATAACCTTTAGGAACATCACGAGTGATTTCCTGAACAAATGTTGAAGCAATAAACAGAAAAGACACCAATCCCTTCAGTTTTTGTGAATGAAGACAAGGGTTCTAAGGCAGTGTCATGACCTTGTTGGAGTCTGATTCTGAGGGGGAGATTGAGCAGCTCACAGGGAGTGTGGCTCCAGTGGCTGTGGAAGAAATGGGGGAAGGGCACAGTCCAACAGGGCATTCAGAGGAAGACCCAGGGCCATCCCCTCTTCATCCTAGGGCACATAGGGAGGAACTGAGAAGGGAGCAACGTGGCTTATGGGATAGGAAAGGGCCCTG